TGGCTGGAAGATGAAAACGCTCTCCTTTGCAGGTAGAAGGATTCTCATTCAATCTGTCCTGACTGCTATTCCTCAATACTCCATGCAATCCACCCTTCTACCAGTAGGCGTTGTCAAAGAATTGGACAAATTGCTCCGTGCCTTTCTCTGGGGTGGCTCGGAAAATAATAGGAAATGCAACCTAGTTGCATGGGATTTGGTTACGCAAAGCAAAGAGCGAGGTGGTCTAGGAATCCGTAGATTGGAAGATATGAACATCGCACACCTTGCAAAACTGGGTTGGAGGATTCGATCAGGAAAAAATTGCTTATGGGCTAATATTCTAAGAGCAAAATACAACGTACACCCTTCGGATCCTTTGCTATGGAGATCGAAGGCCAACATGTCAAACGTGTGGAAGGGAATAATCAAGGCAGTTCCTCTGCTTGTCAAAGGCACTAGGATCGTAATCAGAAATGGCAAAAGGACTAAGTTTTGGATGGATGCATGGCTTGGTCACCGGCCTCTCTACGAGCTTTGCTCTCCTTGCTTACCACTGCCGGAACTCTACGCTTCTGTTGCAGACTACTGGCTTCTAGAGATTGGATGGGACTGGGAAAAATTGGCAGCAATCTTCCAGCTAGCCTCATAAGCCGTCTATCTGCTATTATTTTGAGCGAAGACACAGAGGATGAGGATTCCTGGGGCTGGGGGGACAACGGCTCTAATAAATTCTCAACAAAAGCTGCCTACGAGTTAAACACAGATTGTAGCCTGCCTATCACTAATCCAATCTGGAGCAGCATCCGGAGTCTCAAAATTCAAAGTAAAATTCTCACTTTTCTTTGGATGGCAAGGCACGACCGCATCATGACCAATGTTAACAGGAAAAAGCGTGGCCTTACGGACTCTGCAGTATGCTCGGCTTGTGGAAATAGTGAGGAAACAACAGAACACATACTCCGCTTCTGTCCAGAGACGAAACGGATCTGGCAAGACATCCTCCCGAGGCTAAAAAACGATCCAGGAACGACCTTTGATAAATGGTTCGATGACGGCATTAGAGGTCTGTCACCGGGTAATCGTATTCACACCTCACGTGTTTTCTTTGCAATTACAGCGTGGATGTTATGGATTTGGAGAAATGATAGGATATTCAACAACGTAAACACTGACATAAGGCAGAAGATCTTCCTTATCCATGCCAAAGTTGCTGAGGTTGGCAGAGCTTTTGGGAATATTGAGGGCATTCTGAATGGTGCAGCCCCTACCAAGTGGAAGCTTCTTAGATGGAATAAACCGCCATTGGGTTGGATCAAAATCAATATCAATGGGTGCTGCGACATTGCCACGTCCAGAGCCTCATGTGGAGGTTTGGCAAGAGATGACCAAGGCAAATGGATTAAGGGATTCACTCACGCCATCGGCCTATGTACACCAGAGGTGGCAGAAGCATGGGCTTTGCTTAAAGGAATTCAATTCACAAAGATGCTTGGGAGTTCTCAAACCTGCTTTGAAAGTGACTCAAAACACATTGTGGATGCCATTAACAATGGATATAAAGTCAGCAGTATTGCAGAGAATATTCTTCATGCATGCAAAAGGGAGCTTCAGTCGGCAGGCTCTTGGCACTTATCCCTCATTTCAAGAGATCAAAACCATCTGGCTGATAGTGTTGCTAAGCTTCATCCTGGCCTCCATCGGACGACAATCCTAGACAATCCCCCTGAGGATCTTATTAGTAGACTTGAAGACCATCAATTTGGCGTTCCGGTGTGGCGTCTTGCTGCCACTTAAACTTTGTACTTTTGGGTTACCCCCTTCCTTCTAGATTAAAAAAATAATGTTTTATATTAATCCTTTAAAATATATATACAGGAAACAAAATCGACTGCACAATCGGCCTAAAAAGCGGGCTAAACAGACCCAACCCAATGGGTTGAGTCAGTTTTGATAGCTCTAAATTTAAGGCTTTTATTTTCTACAGTATTAAATTTAAGGGGATATAAATTATATAATTTTATATTTTTGAAATATCACTTGGTATTCCAAGCATTGAAATTTACACATTTCAATGAAATTTAAGAGCAAAAGAAAGTATGGAGGCCAAAGGTACGCTGCATGGCAACATAACTCTCCATGTCTTTGTCGTTATGGTGTTCTTGACAACAGGTGTTCCCACCATATGACAAGAAATAGGGGATTTCTCAAAAAATATCTCTAAAGAGTATGTTGGTCAAGTCACATTCAGTGACAGTGAAAAAAGAAGAATATTCATTGGGCAAGTAAAACTAAAAGCTCTTTATGATGCTAGATTTGAGAACTTCAGCACAAACATGGTTTGTGCACTTTGAAATGATTTTTGGAGTAATTTTTTGTGTAAATTATGCTTTACTCTTTTTTTTTTCTTGAAAGTTTGTTATATATAAAGATGAAGAAGTTTTTTAACCATATTTATGGTTTATTAGTGATGTAAGATTTTTAGAAGAATGATGATGAATTTTTTGGAAAAAAAATGACTCAAATATGAACAAACAAATGTGTATTTCTAAAATTATGACACTGTTGAAAGTTGGACAAAAATATGAAAAACACATTTGGGAGATGTGTTTGATGTCAGAATTGGTCAAACACAAACGTAATTTGCGTTTGTGTGTTTTTTATTTATTTATTAAATTTGGTCGTCGGCAACTAGCAGCTTCTCCGCCGGCGACACCGGTCACCGGTTTCTCTAGCGAAGGAGAAGGCCACTGGTTGCCTTCTCCTTCGTTGGAGAAGCCATCGACTCGCCGATTTCTCCAGCGAAGGAGAAGGCCACCTCCTTCGTAGGAGTCGCCGGTGGAGAAGCCGCTGGTTGCTGGTGACCAAATTTAAAAAAAAAAAAAAAAAAAAAAAAAAAAAAAAAAAAAAAACAACCACAAACGCAAGTGGGACTTGTGTTTGTGTTTGACCAATTCTGACATCAAACGCATCTCCCAAATGTGTTTTTCATATTTTTGTCCAACTTTCACCAGCGTCATAATTTTGGAAATACACATTTGTTTGTTCATATTTCAGTCATTTTTCTGAATTTTTTGAGGAAGAAATTGAGCTAATCAAAGAAGATTATAGGCTATTTCTTGATCCTCGTATAGATGACACTGGAATTCAAGACTCTCAAGCTGCTAATACACAGTCAGATTCCAAGTATTCTCCTTCCAACATCGCACTAGCGTTTTGAGGTGTCTATGGGTAATCTTCTTACTGTTTTGGGTTATGCATACTTAATTTTTGCTACATGTCTTTTCTAGGGTACTATCGCTATCTTATGTGGGTAGTAGTAAAGTAGATATCTGGGTCTTTGCAAGCTTGTGGACAAAGTGACAATTTGTTTTGGTACTCAAAGTGATAACATTCTAGCATATATATCAAAATGATGTAAACACTCTTGTCAAAATTGGTCAGCAATCTACACAAGTCAAATACATCTCCATCCCAAAAACACACCCATATCACTCTTGGTGCTAAGCTATCTTGCTATTATCTTTGCACTGATAAGGACTTATAGTACTGCATGTGTATTTCTGGCTTCCCACATATGGTGGCCTTATTGCTCACGATAAAGATATTTGCAAGATCTTAATTAGGTGTGTATGACAGAATCGTAGGATATTTACCTTTGGTCTATGTTAATCAAAAGAGGGAGAAGTGTGACAATTCAGGGGGGAGCATTGAGTACTTTGTACTGAAAATTTTGTAAGAATTTTGTGTGAATCATGTCTTGGTTTGAGGGAGAGAACATTTGTAAAATCTCAGAGGGACACATGTACATATTTAGGGGAAGTTGTGTTGCTGTGATGAGAACTGATAGAATTATGTTGAATAAACTTGTAATTACAACTGTATAGACAAGGGGAATATATACAAGAGAAATCATAGGGAGACTATGATAGGTAGTCATATAATGACTCAAATACAAAGAGTCCTAATACTCACCCTCAAGCACATGGTAAACTTGTAACTTGTAGTTTGTCTCTAAGAAAAGAAAATCTAGGACTAGGCAATGCTTTGGTAAATATGTCTACAAGTTGATCTTTTGTTGAGATGAAATTGACTTGAATTTCTCTACCAGCAACTCTATCTCGCACAAAGTGATAATCTATCTCCACATGTTTGGTGCGTGCATGAAAGATGGGGTTGGCACACATATATGTAACTTCAGGATTATCACACCATAATTTGGGAATCGAAATACCTGGGACGTGAATCTCTCGTAGAAGGGACATGATCCAAATTACCTTAGCACACACACCTGTTAGAGCTTTATAATTTTATGTTGTACTTTTGTGCAAAAACTCAAGAAATTCGAGTTAGACATAATTTGTACTTTGTTGGAAAGTATAATTATTACAAAATATAAATGTTTGATATTAATTTGATAAATTTTAGAGATTTTGAGATAATATTTATGCATAATTTGGTACAATTGTCAGATGTTCTTTGCACAAAGTTTTTAAACTTTCGATATAATTATCACAAAATACATTTAGCTTTTTTTTTTTTTTTTCAGCAAAAAAAATGGTAGAGTGTGTAGTATACAAGCTACTTAGGTAAAGCTTAGTCCGACTTACGGCTTAGTTGGGGCCAATTGTATTTAATATAAAATTGCTAGAAAACAATTATATTTAAACTTTTAATTTTTTTAATTTAATACAAAACTTTGGTAGAGTTCCGTGCTAAAGAAAGAATTTTTTTTTTTTTAGTATTACTGACTCTATTACAATTTAGTATACTAGAACTCGAATCAATGATCTCCCATTTAAAATAGTCACTTCATGCAACTAGAACACAAGGTCTTTGGTTAAAAATGTAATTAATTATAAAAAATGTAAGCTGTTTTGTCCCTTAATTCACTATTTCACTCTACACGTAATATAATACCAAGAACAAACAATTAATTCACCTTAAACCCAACTACGTACATTCAAACCTAACTACAGTTAAAAGTTGTGATAGTACATTCAAGCCATTACACAAACCAATCACACAAACCATTACACAATACAGAACTTACGTACTAAGGAAACGGCATAAAATTAAGATTACTTTTATGTAAAAAAATTCTGCTTTTGAGGCACGAGGGAAACGTAAAAGTTCCTGCATAATTTTAAATTCTTCATTAGAGCGAATCCAACCTCGAACAATGACAACCTTCTTAATTCCTAGAAAAAAAAAGCAAGTAACACTTTAATAGACTGCATTTCAGGCCTCCACCCATTAAAATGGCTAAACTTCAAAGTGCGAAGCATTTTCAATGTTCGAGCCACACTGCTGAGTTCCTCCATAAGCACAAAATCCTCTGGATTTAACTTCAAATACTAATAACAGAACATAAACATAAATAAGCAATTAGTTCATAATACATAACAAATTTGCATTAAGAAATGCAACAATAATGGAATCAACCAGAATTTTATGGAACGTATCCATACATATAAAAATGAAGATTACCTGTAGACCCCATATATCAAGTTCGCATAATTTTGGGCATGCTTGCAGCAGATGTATGAATGCAGAATTATTTATATTTTTTGGCGGAAAGCTATAACTTGATATATGTAGCTTGAGGAGTTCAATGTTTAGTGTAGGTGCATTTCCCACTCTAGTAAGTTCTTCAATAAACATCTTGGAAATCAAGAGAAAATGCAATTAGATCAGTTCCTAAAAAATATTTTATAAAAACAGAATTAAACAAAAAAAGAGTCAGGCCAATTTACCTCAAAGCAACAAGTGGAACAATCCAAATTAAGACTTGATATAGTTCTCAAGTCCAAGTTAGGTGGCAGAACACCAAATCCTTTGTAATAAAAACAAAAAAACTTTGGCCAGGATGATTTTCAAACTACCAAGTTTTGGTGCAACAATGTTAAAATGAAATATGAAAGTGCATTCGACAAATGAGAGATCCTCAAGCATAGGAAGATAAACAACATAATCCGAACAATTTCTAGGCTTAAAGTTAACAAGGTCAAGACAAAGTGATGTAACATTCAGAAGTACAAGAGAGGCATTCATTAGTTCAACAGAGACATTAAAAAGTTTCAATCTCTTCAGCGTTGGGCAAGAAAATATGCAATTCGGCACCCTCCATCTTGTTTCTATATCTATACTACAAGAAATGTCAATTTCTTCAACACCATTCTGGGTGAGAAGAAGAAACCATTGATTCAAGTTGTCCGACATCAAATTAGCTATATACTCATAATCAAATTCTTCAAGGAAATGGGATACAGAATTACAGATACATCTCCGCAAAAGCAGAAGATAATTTTCTGAATAGGTCCATTGTGTTGAATGAGAATTTTGTTGATTACTTCAAAAATATGAGATTCCAACCTCCCACCTCCAGCATAGGGATATTTAAGACATATGTAATCAAAGAAATCAGGGTCAAAGTTAAGCTTTGTCAAACTAAACCATATATCCTTCCAAATGGAAGATAAAATTGTAGTTCTAGCAACTTCTTGAATCGACAAAAATCCCAAAATATTGTCAAAGTATATCAGCTGGGAGTTCACTAATTCTGTCTCTTTCTGCCATAATTCATATAACTGTGACAAACAAATATTGGAAAACGAAGAAATTAGAACATAGTTCTATAATATGAATTCAAAACAAACCTATTTTTGACATTCAAATTTTGTAGACCTATAACCACTAATTTAATCTGCAAAATATAATTTATAAAGCAGAGAACACTTAGATCCAACTACTAGCTAATACAATCTGTGATTGCACCCAAACTCAAATTATTGAAAGATGCAACTTCAACATTCCTACACTACGCCACATCACTTAGCAGTAAATTAAAAGATAAAATTAAAAAAGGAAACTTAAGGACTGGGAATAAACGGAGAAAGAAAATGGCTACTCTTCTGCAGTTCTGCGTACGCCGTACAGAGAAAGAAAATCGATGATGGAGTGAGGGAGGGAGGGAGCGTTCCATAGATTTCAACGAAGAAGAAGAAGACTTACCCAAATTCGCAGATTCGCAGGGGAGGGAGGGAGTGTTCTGCTGGATTCTGGAATCTGGAATGCTGGTCGCTACATTTAGGAATTAGGAATTAGGAATAGGGATTAGGGTTTTACTGTCTGTTTTAGTTGAATTTTGCATTTTTGCATTCGCCCATAAAATTTGTACATGACTTGTCAAGATAAATAGATTATTGTGGGATCTTGGTATATATTGCTTCCATTTTAATGAAATTGTAACTTTTTAAAAGGTCCAATAAATTAATTCATTTATATATAAACTCCCACAACCTCCTACTTAAGGGAATAAACTTGGTGTCATTAAACCACAAAGTCTTGGCGAGTTGAATTATTTAAAATAGAACAAATTGCAATTTTGGTCCTGTGACTATTAGGGTGCTGATAATTTGAGTACGTGACTTTCAAAACTCCCAATTTAAACCTTTAACTATGCAATTATTAGCAGATTTGGTCCTCCCGGCCAAATTGCCGGCCAATTTTGACCGGAAAAACATTTAATGTTTCGAATTAATTTCTGATGAGGGTAAAAACGTCATTGCTAGTGTATTTCACCACCGAAGTGACGGCGGCGAGCTCCGTGTCCGTGAGTTTGTTGTACACCAACTCGAACTCCTGCACGATTTCATTGATTAGCTCGATGCGGTCCATGTCCACGAGGATGTTGAGGAAGTTGACCACGTGCGGCTGGAGCTCAGACGACTTGGCGATCTCGGCAAATACCTCCCGCTTCTTCTCATCGCTCATGATAGGGTTAGTGAAGAAATCGAACACCGATTCCTCCGTGAAGACTTTCTCGATCTTCTCCAAGTCGCCCGTGGTTGTCTCCATAGTTCCGTTCGACTTGGCGACGACGCAGAACGCGACGGCGTAGCTTTCTGCAGGCGAGTCAACCATTTTGGCACCAAACACCCCGCCGCGAGAGAGTTTCTTCGAGGGGGCCCTGACGTTGAACTTCGGAAGCTTAAGGCCTCCGGAGAATGAGAGCTTCGCCGTTGGCGAGACGATGATTTGAGTCGACGGCGGGGAGCGCGACTGGATCACTGGAATGTGGTCGGAGTTTGTTGCAAAGCGCGACTGGAATGTGATCAGAGCGCGACTGGAATGTGATGATTAGTGGAAGAGTTTTGAGTGGGATTTGAAGGTGAGGAATGAGGAGCAATGGTTTTTTGATGGGAACGGAAGGTTCTCTACTGTCCCCCAAATAAATACACTAGCAATGATGTTTTTACCCTCATCAGAAATTAATTCGAAACATTAAATGTTTTTCCGGCCAAAATTGGCCGGTAATTTGACCGGGAAGACCAAATCTGCTAATAATTGCATAGTTAAAGGTTTAAATTGAGAGTTTTGAAAGTCACGTACTCAAATTATCAGTACCCTAATAGTCACAGGACCAAAAGTGCAATTTGTTGTTTAAAATATTTCAATTAGAGTTTAATGATATTATATATATATATATATATATATATATATATATATATATATATAATTAAATTCCCGTGCGGTTGTGCGATGAGTAGTGTGCGTGAGTTTTGTATAGGGGTGGGCACTTCAGTTCGGTTTATCCGAGTCGAACCGAACCGAATCGAACTAGTAATAGAAACTCGAACGGTTCGGGATTTTGTAATCCAAACGGTTTAGTACCAAATTGAACCGAAACCATACGGTTTGGCAAAAATCGAACCGAACCGAATGCTATATAAATTTTTTAATAAATAATAATAATAATAATAATAATAATAATAATAATAATAATAATAATAATAATAATAAGTAAATCCAAGTTCCTTGATGCTTGCTCCGCCGTTCAGCAATCGTTATGCTATGGAACCGTGTTCACCATCCATGGTAAACACGGTCCCAACGGTAACAGTGCACCGTTATCTTTTTTTTTTTTTTTTCCTTAATTAATCGCGCGACTTTTCTTATTCATTTTCACATTTTGCGGTTTCACTTCCTCATCGTGCAAGCTTCTTCAACATAACCTCATAAAAATAAAATTCATAATTTCATAACTGCACATTCATAATTGCATGGATTTATGAATGTGCAGTTATGAAATTATGAATTTTTTGTTATGAGGTTATGAATTTTCTGTTATGAGATTATGAATTTACAGCAAATTCATAATCTCATAACAGAAAAATCATAATTTAATAAATGTTTTTCTTTTATGCGATTATGAATTTTCTATTATGAGATTATGAATTTACAATACATTCATAATCTCATAACAGAAAATTCATAATCTAACCAAACGCGCGCCATTAACACCACATTAGCTAAAAAAAAATTTCCATAAAAACGGCGCCGTTTGGACCCGTGTTCACCATGAATGGTGAACACGTTTCCAAGGCATAATTTGCAGCCGTTCAGTTTTCATTCTTACTGGTACCGAACCTTAAAATTTTTATTTTATTTATTTATAGCTTGTTTTCTACATTGCACTTTTGTTGTTTGTCGCAATTGTTCTTTACCTCACAATTATATCTAACTTGAGTTATATTTACAATATTCAGTATTTTTCTTACTTTCATGTTTTTCTATAAATTTAATGTGCTTTACAGTCATTCTAATTTTGATTTCCAGTGCACTATAATTATTTTCTAGTACTGGAATATATTTCGAGTGCACTAGCAATGACAGATTGTGTCCAAAAATTAACAATATAGTAATTGACACTTGTTCTTTTAATATCAACTATACAGATAGATGATTATTCATCTTATCAATAAAAATATTCCAACTGAACCAACTGAAGAGTCGGTTTTGCAAAAACGTTAACTGATGTTTGGTAATTAGTACTTAGTATTGTGTTTGAACTTTGGATTGTTATTTTGTTGTATAATGTTTAGAGTTTGAATTTGGATTATGTGAATATGTATTGTTTGGTAGTATGTTCGAAAAATTAGGAAATGTTGAAATTTGGAGATCTTAAATCGAATCGAACACCGAACCGAATTAAATCTGAACCGAAACCGAACCATTTCAAACCGAACCGAAACCAAACCGAACCCTAATGTTAAACCGAATGGTTTAACTTTTTTAAAATCAAAAAATCGAAACCGAAACCCGAAACGCCCACATCTAGTTTTGTACTTAAGATGCGTGAAGCTTGTGCTTAAGCTGCGTGAGTTTTGTGCTTAAGGTGCGTGGGTGTATACTCAATGTGAGTAGTTGTGTGAAACTTAAGTTGCATGAGTTGTCTTTTAGATGATAACAAAGACATGGCCCAATTGCTAAGAAATGGAGTCAGAATCAACAGCCTGAAGCTCTATTATTGGGAACTACGGGCTCAAATGCAATTATCCCAATCGTGCCTAATCTTCGAAGGCTTAGTTCCATCAGAAGTGGAAGCTTTGTTAGCAACTATTTAAATGATGATGTGGAAGATCTGGAGATGTTGCTGGAGGTTTACTTCATGCAGTTGGAAGTAGGTATGACCACGGTTTCGGTTTCAGTTCAAAACCGTCGGTTCCGGTTCTGAAAATGATCGAATCAAAATCGAAACCTTAATATACAGTTCCGGTTCTGGTTCTTGAACTGACGGTTCCGGTTAGAACTGTCAGTTCTAACCGTGATTTTTTTTTTATTTTTTTAATAAAATTAATGTATGGTTGTGTTACACGCCAGCAAAGCCTGGCCCAAAGGCCAAGGCTTGGCCTTTGCGCCAGGCCAACTGGCGAAAGTGGCCAGTAGGCCACTGGCCTAGTGGCCTACTGGCCATTTTTTTTAAATAGCCAAACTTTGGCAGTTTGGCAAGTTTTTGATTTTTTTTTTTAGAATTTCACGGTTTCAAACCGGAACTGGCGGATCCGGTTTCTTAATTACCAAAACCTTAACCGAAACCAGAACCTTACGGACGATTCAGTTTCAATTCCGGTTGTACAGTGCACGGTTACGGTTCGAATCTCCGATTCGAACCGAACCGTGGTCACCCCTAGTTGGAAGACACCCGTAATAAGATATTATCTAGCAGCAATAGATATGTAGTTCTCTGTAATTATTATCTCAGGTGCGTGAGTTTTGTACTTAAGGTGCGTGAGTCTTGTGTTTATGATGCGTGAGTCTTGTGCTTAAGGTGCGTGAGTTTGTGTTTAATGTGAGTAGTTGTTGAAACTTAAGGTGCATGTGTTTTGTGCTTTAAGGTGCGTGAGTTTTGTGCTTAAGATGCGTGAGTTTTGTGCTTAAGGTGCGTGTGTTTATGTTCTGAATGTGTTTTGTTTGTGTGCTTAATGTGCTTCCAACCACACGGGAAGCCCTCACCCGCACCTGATTCCTTTTATATATATATATATATATATATATATATATATATATATATATATATATTAATTATTTGTATAAAATGAAAAAGAAAAAAATTAAGGATTTAAAATTTTAAATTAGGTCTACATGAAAAGGTGGACTTGGTCAATGGTATAACTACTGTATAAAAATAATCATTATTGTGTGGATCATGCTCCACATAAGTTGTGTGGATCATATTTTGTATACTATAAAATAATGTACATTTAGTACACAAATAATATACTTTTAGTATATATTAAAAATGTACATTATGTTCAGAGAAAGTACATTATTTGAATATTAAAATATATTATTTCTTTCCAAAAAATACATTATTTTATTTAATGTATATTAAAAATGTACTTTCTTTTATCGTTTATACAACATTGGTCTTGTTTGGCAATCAGCGGTTAGCGGTTAGCGTTTGCGGATTGTATTAGCGGTTAGCGTTTGCGGATTGTATTAGCGGTTAGCAAATAACGGATTATATTAGCGGGTTTGACCAGCAGATTGTATCAGCGGTTTGTAAAAAGATGTTTGGTAGAATTAGTTGTTTAGATTAGCGGTTAACATGTAAAATGACCAAAAGGGTATACATATAATAATAATATAATATAATATAATATAATATAATAATAATAATAATTTTTGAAATAATAATAATAATAAGAAGAAAAAAAAAATCAAAAATGATGTGGGATAAGAATCCAACATCGATAGTTTAGAAAATAAATGGCGTTGAGCTCCCTTTTGTTGAGCTCCCTTATAAAAGGGAGCTCAACGCCATTCAGTTTCTCTTGCCCATCCCACATCGGATGGGCAAGAGAACAGAAGCGTGAGGCTTCTTTATTTAAAGAAGCCTCAGGCTTCTTACAAGTTAGTTTAATTTTTTATTTATTTTTTAATATATAAAATGGAGGGTGTTTTGGGGAAGGATTTTCCTTCCCCAAAATGCTAACCCCAAATGCTGCTCTTAGCAGCATTTGGGATTTCAGTGGTTTGGAGCAAACCGCTGCTCCAAATCGTTGAGTAGTCAAACATGGTTTTTGGCGTTTTGATGGAAGTCAAAACGTCAAAATGGTAGATCCGTCAAAAATTTGACAGATTCGCCATTAACCAAACAAGGTCATTATGTGGACCATAGTTTACACAATAATTTGTCGTATAAAGGAGCTTTGTATAATAATTTAATTAGGTCCTCTTTAGAATATTTATTATCTTAGCATTGGCTCCTAAGTCCTAATACTAATTGTATTATTAATTTATTTTGTGAATAAATAGGAATGCTCCATATAAAATGAGACTCCACAAATTATTTGTGCTTTCGGAGGTGCACATACTCAATTCTTATCCCAAAGGTTGAATCCCCAACCCTAAGGACCCTCCAGACTCCGACCCGACAGAGCATGTGAGAGGATGTAAATCACGGTGACTCAATGGGTTAGTAGATAGGGCTAAATGCCGGTGCGCACAAGGAATCTGCCCACTTTAGACATAATTCCCACACTGTCGCCGCCAAAGTTCGAACCTTGGTCTCTTATCCCAAATACTGCCCAGTAAACCATTGAGCTAAGCCCGTGTGGGACACATACTCAATTCTTAAAACTGTGGGTGGCACGCCAAGTCGCCAAGTTATGGCAAATTACATCGTGCATCGTGGTGCATAATCGATTATGCACCGCGCATGAAAACGACGTCGTTTTGTTTAATGAAAAGAAACGACAATCGTTTCCCGCCGTTCCGCACCCTTCTGCAAAAAGTAACTCTGTTATTCAGTTTCATTTTGTATACACTGTAGTTTCAGTTCAACACAACTACAACTTCATTTCGATATAACTATAGTTTCATTCGATATTTATAGACTCAAATATGTGAAAATGTTATTTAATTTTATTTTATATATACTATAATTTTATTAAAATACAACTACATGATCATTTTGATATAATTACAGCTTCATTGTACAATATACACTCAAATATGTGAAATGTTATTCAGTTTCATTTCACCGCAACAACAATTTTATTTTGATATAACTGCAATTTCATTTGATAATATAAAAATAATACGTGAGGCAGTGTCGGTTTAAATATACTGTAGTGTCAGTTAGTAATTAACATACAAAAAAAATGCGAGCTCCGTTAAAACTAACGGCGCGCCGTGCACCGCGGCCCACGATATAACGACACCCAAGTTATGCCTAGACTTCCTATCCATGCAAATAATTTGTTATTTCAGAGATGCACGAGGGAAGTAATTAATTTTTAATTGTGTTTTATATTATGAATTTATGTGTTTTGTGTTATGAGTTTCTGTGTCTTGTGTTGTGAAATTCTATGCTTATGAACACAAATTAATAAGTAAATATATAACATGAGTATGTGTCTTGTGTTATGATTTTTTGTATCTTGTGTTATTAAATTCTGTACTTTACGAGTATGAATTATGTATCTCATCATTTCAATTCAGGGTCCATAATGCAATATGTCTGTGATGTGATTTTTGTATTTTGTATTATAAAATTATATACGTTACAAGTATGAGTACATGATATAATTTGCCAAAAAAAGAATAATGCCTCGCAGTATTCTGTTCTTCCAAACGCAAAACATCTAGGCAGAGTAGACAGTAGAGAAGGCAAGGGTTTCTAACACTTTTTCCCTAATCTATTATTTCCCAAATTAAACCAAATTTCTGTTGTTTCCAAAACCTTGTGGGCTAAATTGGAATGCAAATCGAGCGATTTTAACTTCAGTTTCCAGTTTAATGGCGAGTCGTCAGAGAAAATCCGAAGAGGATGCAGGAAGGGACGTAATAAGTGAACTGCCAGTGGAAGTGAAAGAAATGATTTTGGAGTGTTTGCCTACTCGAGACGTAGCCAGAACTGCTTTGCTCTCTACTCACTGGAATGAGGTTTGGTTGCGGCATGGGCGTCTTGTGTTTGATAAGGACTTCTTGGAATGCCTCTCAAAGTACGAAGGTGAGAAAGGTATGGCTCTGATTAACACAATAAATGATATTCTCATGCTTCGTACTGGACCCATTAAAAAATTTACTCTACAAGTTCACCGCACATCGGATCCTCAGCCCCAGCAGTGTGATTTAGATCGGTGGTGTCGTTTTCTTTTGAGAAATGGTGTACAGGAACTTAACTTGTATATTTCGCATAACCATAAGCTTCCATCTTGTATATTCTTGTGCCGGACAATCAAGCAACTAACTCTGGGTGGTTTCATTTTCGATTTGCCTGTCCCTAGTTGTATATTTCCCAGCGTAACTTCATTATTTTTGGAGAATGTTGAATTTAGTGATAATGTTAAAGAAATTGTCTACAGTGTTCCTAATCTTGAGGAGCTGATTTTCTGTGGTTGTAAAGGGATTACTAATTTTGAGATCAGTAGTACAAAACTTGAAAGATATATTGTTATTGGCTCTCTGTTTTGGATGAAGCTTGATGAATCTAGATGGTTCACGCGTTGTTTGAAAACAATTAAGACCCTTATCGTGGGTGCCCGTTTTTTGCTGGTGAGAATCTCTACTTGTCTTTTGCATTCTCTTTATGCAAATGGATTGATTATTAGGATTGAAACATTTCTTTCAATGCTCATATAATCTTTTTTCTTTTTTAAGTGTAAAGATGCAGAAATAGCGACAGTGACATTCCCTACAGCAATAAATTTGCAAGTGATTGAGTTGTATGATTTAAGTGTTTCATGTGCAGCGCAGTTTGCCTTTGTTTTGCAGTTGCTTCAAAATTCCCCCAACTTATGCCAGTTGAAGATTATGGCATTGGATTGTGTAAGACACTTGAAACCTAGGGACTTTTGCACTTGAAACCTAGGGACTATATATTTTGCAGTTGTTTTCTTTTACTTATTAATTTCCTCATGGTTATGGTTGTGTTGTAGCTATGTTCTTGTGATTTAACAACGGGCACACGACTTTTGGAGGAACAATACAACTGCATTATTAAGCAAGATCTGAAGATTCTTAACACAATCATAATTGTCGGGTTTAGTGGAGTTACACTTGAAATGCTTTTTGTGAAAATGCTGCTCTCGAAATCTCCTACACTAGAGAGAGTTGCTATTATGGAATATGTTGATACTGATATAGAAGATACCTCCGAAGATGTCAATAGCTGGTGAAAGGAATTGTTGTGTTTTCCTCGCGCATCTCCGGAAGCACAACTTGTTTGCAGTGAAATTGACGACTCAGTGTTCGAACTATTTGATTATATGTGGTTTTAGCCTTAGCTTGTAGGAATTTAGTATGATGAGGCTCCATGGGTTAAGTTTGGATGCAACCTAGAAATGTAATCAATGGTTGTGGTGGAAGTTGAAACCTTGTACCCAAGTATTATGTTGTAATTAAAGTATTTTGAATCTATAAGCACTAGATTCCAAGAATATGATGTTCTTATGATCTTTTTACTTATGTTAATTATACTAGATTTTACCTATGCAGGTCTTTTTTATGACTTCATTCAGAACTACTCCAAGCATGTTTCAAACTCATTTGTAGTGTGTAGGATACCAATATTAGGACTAGTATTATGACTACATAGAGTCCTAAAAGTAGTCCTAATAACCAAACTTGTTTAATATAGAGTAAATACCCAAAATGAAGGTGCATGGCCGCCGCTCTACCCTCTTCGTCTCAAAAATTACATATATATTCTCAGAGATAACGGTCAACAAACGGTCAAATAGACGGAGGACTTAATTGGGTCACAATTGAAAAGTTAAGGACTTAATTGGTTGAAATCAATAGTCGAGGACCAATTTGTGAATTTAGCTATAGTCGATGGACCATTTTGGGTATTTACTCTTTAATATATTCCAAAACAACTTTAAAAACGACACTAACAATAGTGAATTGGATTTGTTTAGTTATATTAGTAAATCTATGTATTTATAGAAATGAATTTATGCATTTGTAGCAAATTTATTTAAAGTAATGATTTTATATACTGGTTGATTTATTTGAAATAAATAAATAAATATCAATATGAGTCATTTATAAATAAAAAAAAATTTCTAACTTATACTTTCACACAATATAATAGTCATTATTTAGTATATATAAATGATGAAATTTTTTTTTAAAAAAAAAAAAAGAAAGAAAAGAAGACTAGTCTAACAATATGATTTATGAATTATAAGTTTATAACAGTATGATTTAAACTAGTCTAACCGTATGGTTAATTGTACTTTCAAATCTAATTAACCATTAACTAAAATTTTTAAAAATTCCATTAATCGAATCAAAATATTTCAATTAAAAAATGACTAATTAAAAATTTTCAGTTTCATCGGTTAGTCGTTTTTTTTTTCCCACTAAATTGTGTACACCCCTAATCGAGGTCTAGAAATCTTGCTTATGAATTTTAATTATTCTCATAATCTAATTAACTTTTGGGCCTCAATTTCTTGTACTCAATTGGCTTTAGACCTGGAGTCCATTCCGCTTACAGGTTTGGCAAATTACACAGTCCACATAGCTGTGTAGACCACAGTCCAAAACGACGTCGTTTTTACAACTAAAAAATTATGTTAGTAATAACGACGTTTATTCAGCCGTTATGTGTGAATAATGAACCTCCTGGGGTTAGATGATGCATTTATGAGTTAGAATAATGTACTTTATGAGTTATAAAAATGTATGTTGCAGAATTGGAGTTAAAAGGAAGAAGCAATGGAGAGGAAAAACTAGGTCGCGTGAAAATTTAAAAAAAAAAATTGCGACCCACGTCTCTAACTTAATGGCGTCATATCTTCATAAATGAGAGACGATATGATATCATTTTGAACTGTGGCCCGATCCACAAAGCTGTGTGGATTACAGTCCATTGCACAGAATAATGATTGCACAGGTTTAAACCAAGATGAAAATTGATGAGCAATCATCATTTAAACCCAAAAAGATGAATAACATTTCAGTTCCCTTCGGTTACTGTAATTGGCAAAGGCCCAAACCAAACATCAGAGTATAGGGGTTCCGTAATCGGCAAGTCATTAAGCTGTATGAGTTAAGTGTTTCATGCATGTAGAGAGGAACTTGCCTTTGTTTTGCAGTTGCTTCAAAACTCCCCCAACCTATGCAAGTTGAATATTGCGGCATCAGATGGTGTAATACACGAAACCTATGGACTATATATTTGGCAATCATATATGATTGTTTTCTTTTCAATTCTTTGTTAATTTCCTCATAGTTGTGTTATTCTTGTGATATAATAACGGGGTACAAGATTTTTGGAGGATCTAAATAATTACATTATTAAGTAAGATTTGAAGACATTTAACACAATCATCTCTCAAAATCTTCTATACTACAGAGACTTGTTATTATGGAATATGTTATTACTGTTATAGATACCTCCGAATATGTCAATTGCCTAAAGGAATTGTTATGTTTTTCTCTTACATCTCTAAAAGCACAAATTGTATGCACGGAAGATGACGACTCCGTGCTCGAATTATTTGATTACATATGTTTTTAATCTTGTCTGTATTTAGTATGATGAAGCTTCATAGGTTCAGTTTGGATGTAAAGGATGCACCTTGTATAGACTCCCAAGAATGTTCTTCTTTTTGCTAATGTTAATTGTACAAGATTTTACATATGCTCTTGTTTCTTATTATTTCATTTAGAACTACCCAAGCATGGTTCAAACTCATTTGTCCATTGTAGGATAATAAAGTTTAACAATTTTCAAAACAACTTTACAAATGACACAACAATAGTAAATGTATATACTTCCGATAGTAAATTTATGTATTTAGGGTGTGTTTGATTCATGGATTTACACACTAGGTGATGATATGGAAATAAATCAAAAGGAATATTGCAGTGATTTATGGAAATAAATAACAAGGAATATTGCAGTGATTATTGAGTCCTGTAGTATTATTCTGTATAGCTAGTTTTATTTTCTTTCCTTTGTTTTATTTCCTTTCCTTTTGAATAGTCTTTTGTATAGCTTTACCTTCATTATGTTCTTGTATATATTATGGACTTCACCAGTAATGAAAACTACCTTTTCTCCTAATATTCTTCCCACGCATAATAGTCTTGTAACCATATAGTGCTGTTTTCATCATGGCATCAGAGCTTGGTGACGACAAGGCGAACAAGGTTACGCCAAAGACTTCAGATGAGAGCAGCGAAGAAATAGAAAGGGCCCATCAAGATAAGGTGACATCTCATAATACTCCAGGAGGCATCACAGAAGGCCAATCCGGGCACCTGGATGTTATGTCACCTTATCTTTTGCATGCTTTGGAACCTCCGGAGCAGATTTATGTTACCGAACTTCTTCGAGATGGAAACTACGGAGAATGGGTAAACGACATGCGAGATGCTTTGTTTGCCAAAAACAAGATCGATTTTGTTGATGGATCCATACCCATGCCAAAACCCAATTCACCATATTTACAGCAGTGGATGCGTTGTAATGCCATGGTCAAAGGTTGGTTAAAGAGCGCCATGGACAAAGACATTAGAAACAGCGTAAGGTATGCCAATACTGCTAGGGACATTTGGGAGGACCTTGAAGAAAGATTTGGAAAAGGAAGTGCACCTAGAGCTTTTGAAATTAGGAGATCAGTTGTTTTGTTGAAACAAGAAAATACTTCTGTCTCATCCTACTATGCAAAACTGAAGAGCCTTTGGGATGAGATGATGGCCATTTCGCCATTGCCAAGATGTGTTTGCAGTGGATGCACTTGCAATATTTCAAAGCAACTTGTTGATATGATTTTCTCATGGGACTAGGTGAAGAATTTTCTACTGTTAAGTCACAAATCTCAGTGCCAAACCAACACCAAGTTTGGGCCGTGCATATCACATGGTTTCCGAAGATGGGCAACATAGACAAATCTCAGCAGCACACGAACCAATGGTTGAAGCTGCAGTATTTCAAATGCAAAAGGGAGTTAGTGAAAAGGATGCCAAAGGAAGGAGAGAAAGACCCATATGTGGGCATTGCAAAAAGACAGGACATACAGAAGACCAATGCTATGAAATAATAGGCTATCCTACAAATTGGCGAAAGGGTCCACGTGACAAGAAAGGATGGCAACATGTAAACCAGAAGATAGCGCCGAAGGCTGCTCAAGTTGATATAGACATGCATCCCCTTCAAAGTCTCACTCAAGCTCAATTAACAAAACTTGCTCACTTTCTAAACACAGATGGGGACAAATTGAGGCCGGTAGAGACAAATGAAAAATCATCATGCAACATGGCTGGTAAGATCAACAGTAAAAATTTGTGGGTGATAGATTCTGGAGCCACAGACCATATTGTTTGTGATGACAGTTTGCTAAATAAATTGGAGAGCAAATATGGTGAATTCCCTGTTACTATACCAAATGGAGACAAAGTGGCAGTCAGGAGCATAGGGGGAACTAAACTCCCCAATGGGATGCAAATAAGTCGTGTCTTGAACATACCTGATTTCAAATGCAATTTAGTTTCTGTTGGCAGGTTGACAAAAGACTTTGATTGTGCTCTGACTTTCTTTTCTGACTTCTGTATAATGCAGGACTTGCCTTCGAGGAAACTGATTAGAGTGGGTAGGATGCATGGTGGTCTTTATTACATGGAGCCGGAATATCGTGAGGGTATGACAATGTCTGTTAAGAGCAAAGATTCAAGTGTTTGGCATAGGAGGCTTGGGCATGCTTCTAGTATGATAATTCAAAAAATCAAGTCAGATTCTGTTACTTCTTGTGAGAATAATTTCTTTTGTGATTCATGCATACGTGCTAAACAAACTCGATTACCTTTTCCTATTAGTGCTATTAAAACTCAATCATGTTTTGATCTCATTCATTGTGATATTTGGGGTGGTTATAAAACACCTTCGTTTTCTGGAGCTCACTATTTCCTCACCATTGTAGATGATTTTAGTAGGGGTGTCTGGATATATTTAATGAAACACAAATCTGAAGTCAGACACCACTTAGTTTCATTTTGCAACATGGTTGTTACTCAATTCGGAAAAAGGGTTAAGACAATTCGAGCTGATAATGGTGCAGAATTCCTTTCAACTTATATGTTGGAATATTATAAAGAGCATGGTATTCTTTTACAAAGATCCTGTCCGGATACCCCACAACAGAATGGGGTCGTTGAAAGAAAGCACAAACATATCCTAGAGATAGCACGGGCGTTGCGATTTCAAGCCGGCTTGCCAATCGAGTTTTGGGGAGAATGCATCTTAACTGCAGTTTACATAATTAACAGATTGCCTTCTAAGGTTCTCAAGCACAAAACACCTTATGAAATCTTAATGCAAAAAATACCAAATTATGATCATCTACGGGTATTTGGTTGCTTGGTGTATGCACATAACCGAAAGGGTGACAAGTTTGATGAGAGAGCAAAGCCATGCGTTTTTGTAGGATACACCCGTGGGCAGAAGGGGTATCGAGTCTATGATCCAAATGACCAGGTTTTTCACATACTACGAGAGACTTGATTTTTTTTGAAGACAAGTTTCCTTATAAAAATCATGTTCTGGACTCGGAGTCACAAATTAAAAAAACATACTCACATTTAGTTGATGATGAGACTGAAGAAATCATGAAGATTGTACAAACCCAGGAAGCTGACTATAACAGAAGAATAGAACCTAGTATGCCTGCGGTAGAAATGGATTGTGGTGAGATAAGTGAGATTATTGAAATAGTAGATGGGAATAATGTCGAGGATCGAGGGAGTGTTGAGCCTTCTATGGTCATTCATGAAATGCAGCAGCGAAGAAGTCAACGTGAAAGACGCATGCCAAAATACTTGGAAAGTTATGAGACAACATTGCCACCCTCCATATCGCCATCACCACCTACCACTCCTTCAGTATCCTCAACGGTACATCCTATGTCACAGTATGTTTCATATAATAATTTTTGTTCTTCTCACCAAGCTTTCTTAGCAACCATCACTAGCCATGATGAGCCAAAAACCTTCAAACAGGCAGTTAACTACAAGCATTGGCGAGATGCAATGCAAAAGGAAATTGCGGCTCTAGAAGCAAATGGAACGTGGGACATTGTTGAACTTCCATCAAATAAAAGAGCCATTGATTCCAAATGGGTTTATAGAGTGAAGTTCAAGCCTGATGGAACGGTAGAACGATATAAAGCACGGCTCGTTGCAAAGGGTTTCACACAAATAGAAGGGATCGACTTCCATAAAACATTTGCCCCCGTTGCTAAACTAGTGACCTTGAGATGTCTACTCACAATTGCAGTAAAAAGAGGTTGGGAAATTCATCAACTTGACGTGAATAATGCATTTCTTCATGGTGACTTGCATGAGGAAATCTACATGAAATTGCCTGATGGTTTTGCAAAGCATGGTGAGACGAGAGTTTGCAAATTAAAGAAGTCCCTGTATGGATTGCGACAAGCTTCACGCAACTGGCACCAAAAATGCACTAAAGCACTCATCAGTGTTGGTTTTCACCACTCCAAAGCTGACCACTCTTTGTTTTTATACAATGATGGTACAAAATTTGTTGTCGCCTTGATATATGTGGATGATGTCATTCTTGCTGGGAATGACCCTGACAAGATTCACAAGATTAAATCCTTCTTGGACTCTGGATTTGGTATTAAGGATTTGGGACCTTTAAAGTACTTCCTTGGGATTGAAGTAGCACGAACTACGCAAGGTATGGTTTTGAGCCAACGAAAATACGCATTGGACATTCTTGGTGAAAGTGGTTTACATGGTTGCCGCCCTAGTGACTTCCCCATTGAACAAAACCACAGGTTACGGGCAGATAGTACAGGTTCTTTGGTTGATGCAGCTCACTATCGTAGATTGGTGGGACGCCTCTTATATCTCACAGTTACGCGTCCAGATATCACATATGCTATTAATACCCTTAGTCAATTTGTTGCTATGCCACGACAAGAGCACATGGACGCTGCCACCCGAGTCCTGCGTTACCTTAAAGGGGCACCAGGACGAGGTTTATTACTTCCTAAAGAAGGTAGTTTGAATCTCACAGATTATTGTGATGCTGATTGGGGAGGATGTCTTACTACGCATCGTTCGTGCACGTGTTATTACATTTGTCTTGGAGGTGCTCCAATTTCTTGGCGAACAAAGAAACAATCTGTGGTGTCCCGGTCATCTGCAGAAACAGAGTACAGGGCAATGGCAGTTACTGTAAGTGAGTTACTATGGTTGCGTTGGTTATTGTTTGAACTTGGTTCTCAACAAAAGCATGCAACACCTTTATTTTGTGACAATCAAGCAGCATTACATATTGAGGCAAATCCTGTTTATCATGAACGGACCAAACATGTGGAAATGGATTGCTATTTTGTTCGTGAGAGAATGCATTCCAATGAAATAGCTCCACGAAAAATACATACGAAGGTCCAACTTGCTGATTTATTCACCAAGGCGCTTGGAAAAGATAGGTTTCATCTTTTGCTTGGCAAGTTGGGCGTTGTGGATCTCCACACTCCAACTTGAGGGAGGCATGGTGATATGGAAATAAATCAAAAGGAATATTGCAGTGATTTATGGAAATAAATAACAAGGAATATTGCAGTGATTATTGAGTCCTGTAGTATTATTCTGTATAGCTAGTTTTATTTTCTTTCCTTTGTTTTATTTCCTTTCCTTTTGAATAGTCTTTTGTATAGCTTTACCTTCATTATGTTCTTGTATATATTATGGACTTCACAAGTAATGAAAACTACCTTTTCTCCTAATATTCTTCCCACGCATAATAATCTTGTAACCATATAGTGCTGTTTTCTTCTTCCATGCGAGTTTTCATCACTAGGAAGTAGGAATGAGAATCAAAATCACAATTAGTGTCTAGTTGACAACTTTATACAGAACCACAATTAGTAACCTTTTGAAACTTTAGAGAAGAACTGGAAAGAAAGAAGATGCATTTGCTAGTACAAAGGCTAGATTTTCACTTAAAAATGGAAGAATAACATGAATGACATTTTTTCCCTTCATTTACATGGTGCAAACTGAGCAAATTAATGGCTGGACCATCGTTGGTAACATTTTGAAACTCAAAGCACCACAGTTGGTAACATTTTGAAACTCGGATGGAAAATCAAAAATGATCAATTTTAAAATTTAGGACTATAAGTAGCAAAACCAGCATACTCGGAGGATCCGGAGATCACAGATAATATAAATAAATAAATATGTAAATATATAAGGTAAAATCTAGATGCAAAAAAAATTAGAGGAAATTTCAATTTTGGTCATATGACTATAGGGATCTTGTTAATTTTACTCCATGACTTTTAAAGTGTCAATTTAGTACCTTAACTATGCAATTTTTGTCAATTTTGATCACTCTGGTCAAATTACCGGTCAAATTCCGCCAAAAAATTTTAATTGTTAAAATAATGAGGGTATTTTGATCATTTCACGTCTCTTTTCTTCTTCCATGCGAGTTTTCATCACTAGGAAGTAGGAATGAGAATCAAAATCACAATTAGTGTCTAGTTGACAACTTTATACAGAACCACAATTAGTAACCTTTTGAAACTTTAGAGAAGAACTGGAAAGAAAGAAGATGCATTTGCTAGTACAAAGGCTAGATTTTCACTTAAAAATGGAAGAATAACATGAATGACATTTTTTCCCTTCATTTACATGGTGCAAACTGAGCAAATTAATGGCTGGACCATCGTTGGTAACATTTTGAAACTCAAAGCACCACAGTTGGTAACATTTTGAAACTCGGATGGAAAATCAAAAATGATCAATTTTAAAATTTAGGACTATAAGTAGCAAAACCAGCATACTCGGAGGATCCGGAGATCACAGATAATATAAATAAATAAATATGTAAATATATAAGGTAAAATCTAGATGCAAAAAAAATTAGAGGAAATTTCAATTTTGGTCATATGACTATAGGGATCTTGTTAATTTTACTCCATGACTTTTAAAGTGTCAATTTAGTACCTTAACTATGCAATTTTTGTCAATTTTGATCACTCTGGTCAAATTACCGGTCAAATTCCGCCGAAAAATTTTAATTGTTAAAATAATGAGGGTATTTTGATCATTTCACGTCTCTTTTCTTCTTCCATGCGAGTTCATCCCTTCCTCTCCCGTTTTCGGCGAATGCAATGAACTAAGAGGATGGGGAAAGGATGCTTGATGATATTAAAGATAGGGTTTACAGGGAGAAAGAACGCCGGAAACGGTAGAGAAAGGGATGGACTCGCTGGAGAAGAAGAAAAGAGGCGTGAAACGACCAAAATATCCTCATTATATTAGTTATTAAAATTTTCCGACGCAATTTGGCCGGAGTGACTAAAATTGACAAAAATTGTATAGTTAAGGTACTAAATTGACACTTTTAAAAGTCAGGGAGTAACAAGACCCCTATAGTCATATGACCAAAATTGAAATTTCCTCCAAAAAAAATAAGGTAAAATCTCTAAAACTAAAATGAAAACCCTAGACTCTAGTTCAATACTCAGCCTTCGCCCTTCAGCCCTGCGACTCATCTGTCTCTCTGTCTCTCCACCGCGACTCTCCACTCTCCACTCAGCTCCACCGGCGGCCGGCCTTAGTCTTCTCTGTCTGGCGTCTGCAACTCTGATTCGTTTCCTTTCGGCTTTCCTAACCCGCAAAGGCCCAGACCAAACATCAGAGGTCAGGGTTTCTCTGCTTTTCCCCAATCTTTGTTTTCTTCCCAACTCTTAGCTTCCGAATGTCCTTTTTATTTATGAAATATGGAATCTTGCAGTTGAACAATAGAATGATTTTAGGTTTCGATTTCGACCGACGCCTCATTGTTCTTTCAAATTAATGGCTCGGCGACTCAAAACCATACCGGATGCAAGTAGGGATTTAATAAGTGAGCTGCCCTTAGAGGTAAAGAACAGAACTTTGGGGTGTTTGCGCACCCCAGAGGCCGCCAGAACTGCTCTGCTCTCAAGGCACTGGAATGATGTTTGGTTGCAGCATGGGCGGCTTATGTTCGATTGGGAATTCTTGCAATGTGTTGAAGAGTGCTATGATGATGAAGGTAGAACTCTCGTGAACATAATCAATAATATCCTCTTTTTTCGTGATGGGCCGGTTAAGAAATTTACTCTACAGATTTCATGTGATGATCCTACGCCGCAGCAGTCTGATTTTGATAGGTGGTGTCTTTTTTTGTTAAGAAATGGTGTGGAGGAACTTAACATATGTTTAGATACTGATGTGCAGGAATATAAAATGCCATTTTGTTTACTCTCTTGTAGGACAATTAAGGAACTGAAAGTCCGAGGTCCCTCTATTGATTTGCCTGTAAATGCTTGTGGTATATTTTCCAATGTCACTTCATTAGCTTTCTACAATGTTGAATTTAAGTGTAGTGTGAATGGAATTGCTTCTAGTATTAGTATTCCTAAACATGAGAAACTGGCTTTCGGATGTTGTCAAGGGATCCATAAGTTTGAGATCAGTCCTCCAAAGCTTGAAATGTTGTCTGTTGTTAATTATATGTATGATGATGTGGTTGAGTCGAGATGGTTGGCGCCACATTTGAAAGCCATTAAGACTCTTTGGTTGTGTTTTGTTTTTGTGCAATCTTGGCATATGAATGCCTCCGAGGTGAGAAACTTCCAAAGGAAGTTGGAATGCTTCCCTCGTGCATCTCCAAATGCACAAATTGTCTGCACGGGCAATTACTATGCGTCTATGCGTGATGACTGGTTGGATACCCATGGTTTTATCCTTTTAGAACCTTAGTATTTTTAATCTCCATGGGTTCTATTTGGGTGCATGTAGCTTAGAAATGTAAGCAAAGGTTGTGTTGGAAGTTGAAATGTTTTCTAAGTTTAGCATGAGGTATTTGTAATCAGCAAGCAATGTGGGCAATTAAGAATGTTCATATATTTGCTTTTGTTAATAAATTACTTCAATTATGCTGGCTTCTTTTTTTTTTTGTTTTTTTTTTGTTTTTGTTTTTTTGTTTTTGTTTTTGTTTTGTTTTTTGTTTTTTTTTTTGTTTTTGTTTTTTTTTGTTTTTTTTTTTGTTTTTTTTTTGTGCGCGCGCGTATATTTGTTCATCTAACAATGTTATGGCATTTGATAGTCAGAAAAATTCATGCCAGGCCAATTACTATTTACTAGTCATTAAAGAATTTTCATATAAATGAGAGGTTCTCAAGCATAATATCATCAATCGAAAATTTCACTTGTAGGATCAAAATCAATACAATGAAATGACATTTGAAAATATGTAATGATTAATAGATATAGATCAACATATAGTAAAGATGCAATCTCTCCGGTGTAAGGTGCAACAAAATGTTACAAGTTTTCAGCGTTATACAATGGACTACTATCCTCCATATCCAAACGTGCCTTATCATCATCAAGAAATTCAAATTTCCAAATAGATCCATTGTGCTACATGACAATTTTATTGATTACATAAACCCCATCAAATGGCCACATGTACTTGAGTCGTGTAAGACTGGACCAAATATCTCCATCTAGTGGACAATACAACAGTTCTAGCATCTTCTTGGCAAAAATTCCAAAATATTATCAAGAATCTCTACCATAGAGGGACATCATATTCTTTCACTCTCCATTTTTGTGATGCAAGTATCCAACAATAATAGGAAAGGAGGAACTCCATATCCAATCGTTATACCCTGCACCACGGCGCACACAGTACTGTGCGCCCCGCGCCTCCTAAAACTACGTTGTTTTGATAAGTTATGTAGGTAGTTGACGTGATTATGTATATTATGGTATACAATTATGTGTATTTGTTTATACAATTATGTGTATTTGTTTTTACAATTATGTATATTTTTTTTTATACAATTATGTACATCCGAAACAGAAAATTTATATGTATTATGTTAAGAGTTTATGTGTATTATGTTAAAAGTTTATGTGTATTATGTATTAGGTTAGATTATGTGTATTATCTTTTATTTTTTTAAAAAAAAAGTATGTGTATTTTGTTATACAATTATATACATTCATGTATACAATTATGTGTATTCTAGTATAAAATTATGTATATTTTTGAACATGAGATTTTTTTTAAAAGAAAATTAACCGCCAACACAGGGTAACGAAATTTCAAAAAAAAAAAAAAAAAAAAAAAAAAAAAACTGAAACGATGTCGTTTTGCATCAGAGCGCACAAGGCAATGCGCGCCCTGGTGCACAATATAAATTGCCCTCCTTATCATCCCTCATTATTCTCAACCTACAAATCCACACCATATAAAATAAGCTAAAATGATAACCACAGGACATATTAAATACACTATAACTTTAAAAAAAAAAAAAATACACTATAAAAATTCAAAAAGCAAGTTCATAACAATACCAGAGAAAAATAAGATATTGCATCCCCTAGAAAGAGCTTTCTTCAATTTGGCATCATATCATGCCCTTCCATCATATGCAATAGTGTTTAGCTGCAGTCATGAAAGAACATATATTATCAGGATTGCCAACAACAAAGGTTAATTAATATGGAAGAACTAATTATGCATATTCTACTTAAAACTCAGTGGAAATAACATCTTAGCTTGATCTCACAACCTTATGACAAGTTAACAAAAATCATATGCATAAAAAATTTGGCTGCTTTAATTTATTGACTAATTGGAGGAATGGACTTTCAATAGCAAAGTAGAAGGAATGTAAGAAAAATATGCATACTATGGCCTTTGCAGTTTAAGATAAGCAAATGGTGCCAGATTTAATTACCTCTCAGAAAACTCTATAATTCATAAGAAAAACAAATTGCCTCAATAGACTGCCAATAGAAAAAGAAAGAGTCAGGAAAGAACATGCCATTCTTTTCAGTTTTCAGCATATATTTCCCTTGACTCTTAAAAAAAAAAAAATTTACTTTTAACCAATAAAACAATAAAAACAATTAAACTTTATTAAAATTTTATTTATTACATAGAATTTTAGTGCTTTTTAATATTTCTTTTTAAATTATAATATTCTTTAGTATTGATATTTCATTTGTAAAAGAGAAAATAGTCAAATAGACCCTTAAACTTTACTCAAAAGGGCAATTCGGCCATTGAACTTTAAAAAAATTCAATTAAACACTTGAACTTGTCATTTTGTGTCAAATAAGCTTAATTTACCTGTAACCAACAGGTTACCGGTAAATTATTGATGTTAATCACCGGAAATCACCATTGACTGCCGAAAATCACTGTTGACCGCGTCAAAAAAAAAAAAAAACACCGGAACTTGGCCATTTCCGGTCATCTTCTCTCGGAGAAGACGACGTCCGATCGTCTTCTCTAGGAGAAGACTACCGGACTGGTCGTCTTCTCCACTGGAGAAGGCGACTGCTAGCAGAGGTCACCTTCTCCGGTGGAGAAGGCCTTTTTTTTTTTTTTTTTTTTTAAATTTTTATCGTAGCCATAATTTTTTTATTCGCCGGAATTTTAAATGACCTGTTATTCTAGGCGAATAACCGGCTAATGGGTTTAGATGCCCCAAAATGACAAGTTCGAGTGTTTAATTGAATTTTTTTTTTAAGTTCAAGGGCTAATTGTCCTTTTGAGTAGAGTTTAAAAAATTTAATTTTAACATGTTTGTGTACGAAAAATATGGACACTGTACTACAATTGAAGATGACACACACACACACACAATATATATATATATATATATATATATATATATATATATAAAAGGAAGAAGGTATCAATTATATATTTTGCAAATTAAATACTAAAATTGAAAAGTCATAAACAATAAAGATAATAAAATTATAAATAGTTAATACCCATTTTGGTCCTTCAACTATTAGGTAATGCGTAATTTAGTCCCATACTATTAAAAGTACCCAATTTAGTCCTCTAACTTGTAAATCATATCCAATTTGGTCCTCCGTTACAATTGTCATCCATCCACTGTTATAGAGAGGGGCAAAAAGTCCTTTTATCTAATTGTCGAGGGACCAAAATGGGTATTAACTATTATTATCTAATAGTCGAGGGACCAAAATGGGTATTAACTATTATTATTATTATTATTATTAATAGTATTATTATTATTATTATTATTATTATTGATAGTGGGACAATGTCTCTTGCCACCGTATTACTTCTTATTATTTTAAAAACTAAAATGTACCATAAAAAATCATGCGCGGTCTTTCCTCCATTTTTTTCTCTCCTAGGACCTACAAAAAACCACTATCTCGAGTTCAAAATGCACTCTCTCTCTCCTTCTTCTCTATCCTCCAACTCATATTGGACCCCACAAAAAATCATAGATGGGGTTGCTCTTAGTTTAGTTTTGTATATCAAGACTAGGAGTGTGCAAATCGGTTAACCGAATCATTTTAACTGAAGTTTTTAAAACTTTAACCGTTAACCGAATCGAACTTTGTATTACTGAATTAACCGAATTGAAATTATTTCAATTAATCGGTCGGTTAAATCCTAAAAATAATACATATAATAATAAATCTAACTAAAATAATACATATAATAATAAATCCATAAGAAATATACAAAAACAATACCATAACAACATTACAAATTTATAGGAATTTTACATATTAGATTATTTATTTATATATTTAAAATTTTGGTTAATCGAAAATTTCGAACCAAATTAACCGTTAACCAAATCAAATCATCAAAAGATATCACTATGTTCCGAAAGGACTAAAGAGTGGTCAAGTGAGTGAAGCATTATTTGAAGATCATTATAGAGTTTGATTTTTGTCAGCACTCTCTCGAGTTTTGGGCACATATAAAATAATGATTGCAAAAATTTCTCTTCACAAAAAAAAAATAAATAAATAAATAAAGAGAAGGCATCTTGATAGTGGATTGATCGAGATCAGCCTAAAGGATGTTTCGTGAAAATCATTTTCCAAGAACAAAGACCACATTAAACAAATTAAAAATGGGAGAAATCTTAGAATACATCATATGATGTCGTAATGGATATGCCAACTCTAGGAAGCAAATAACAATTATAACTTATAAGGTTAGATTTAAGAGGATAATAATTAGTGTACTCTAATCATATATATTTATTTAACTAAAAGAAAAGAAATTGAGATTTCATTAATTTTTTTTAGTCAATTAACTCACTCCACATTTAAGGACAAACAGACTGATGGTGGTGGGAGGTAGGGGTGTAAACGAGTCGAGCCGAGCTCGAGCATGGGTATGCTCGAGCTCGAGCTCGTTAAATGCAGCTATGCTCGAGCTTGAGCTCGAGCTCGTAACTGGATGCTCGAGCTCGAGCTCGAACTCGATCTTGAGCTCGAGTTCGAGCTTGATTTTGAGCTCGAATTCGAGCTCGAGATTAGGCTCGAGCTCGGGTTCAAATGCGTGCTCGATCTTAACCTTGAATTTGACGGTTTAACCTATTTGATTTAAAATTTAAACTGCTCTGTTTTATCCATACATAAATAATACAAACTTCAAATCAAAACACTCAAAATAATTTCGCAACGAAGTAAAAGATAGTGAAGACACAAGTCTGTTTGTTCAAACTTCAAAACATTCAAAATAAGTTTGCAAATCACAACAAAACACAAGTCAACAGTAGTAGTCCTTGATTCCTTGTACATATATATTTCGTCCCGGATATGTTCAAAACAATAGGGCTTTTAAGTTTTGACTTTTGAGTTTTAAATTTTAATTATTATTTTTATATATTTTAATTATATAATATTATATATTATATTGTATATTATACGGCTCGCGAGCCGGCTCGACGAGCCACGAGCCTAGAGTATCTAGGCTCGGCTCGTGCTCGTTTATTTGACGAGCCGCTCGAGCTCGGCTCGAGCTCGATTTTGACCGAGCTCGAGCCGAGCGTTGACCGAGCCGCTCACGAGCGGCTCGCGAGCGGCTCGGCTCATTTACACCCCTAGTGGGAGGCATATGGTGGTGGACGCATTGTCCCAACAACAACAACAACAACAACAACAACAACAACAACAACAACAACAACAACAACAATAATAATAATAATAATAATAATAATATAATAGTTAATACCCATTTTAGTCCCTCGACTATTAGATAATACGGAGTAATAGTTAATACCCATTTTGGTCCCTCAACTATTAGATAAAAGGATGTTTTTGCCCTTCTCTATAATAGTGGATGGATGAAAATTGTAACGGAGGACCAAATTGGGTATGATTTTACAAGTTAGAGGACTAAATTGGGTACTTTTAATAGTATGAGACTAAATTGCGCATTACCGAATAGTCGATGGACCAAAATGGGTATTAACTCAATTATAAAATATCCATGTACTAAGTAAAATTTGAATAGAGTATATGGTCTAATGGTACCCGGGTTGGACTTCCATTTGGAAGGTTGTGAGTTTGAGCCTTAGTGGAGGCGTTATTGGTTCTTTGTGTTTCAGTAGGTTGAGAAAGTATATGAACATTTACTTCATTGTAATAGAGCCAGTAGCATTCAAAAAAAAAAATTTGAACTTCTTCTAGAAGTTAAATTTGTAACTCTTTTGAAGAGTTAGATTAGTATATTACAACGGTAAAAGTTAAGAACTAAAATAACTAACAATGAATAATTAAGGGATGAAAAATAATTTTTTTCAATTATATATTTGATAGTGTAAGTTGTTGAATGTTGACTATGATTGATAAATGACTTTCATTGGAATTAATTCATGGAAAAATAATAATAATAATTGAAAAGATGAAAATAACCTTGTCTAAAATAGAGTTTTACTAGAAAAAGTTATGAAAAATAATTTTTTTCAATTATATATTTGATAGTGTAAGTTGTTGAATGTTGACTATGATTGATAAACGACTTTCATTGGAATTAATTCATGGAAAAATAATAATAATAATTGAAAAGATGAAAATAACCTTGTCTAAAATAGAGTTTTACTAGAAAAAGTTATCCAAAGGATAAAAAATCTAAAATATAATAATTTAGAGTATTAAATAACAAAAATAATATCAAGGACCCTGTGATCCACTGGTATCCTATTGCTCACATTGTATGTATGTGGCTATGTGCGTGTCTCCCTTCCTTTGTAATAACAAAAATAATATTCCAAAATTAAATTTGAATTATCAATATATCATATATGTGGGTGTTAGCTTAGTATTATTTATAAATTATTATTATATAAAAAAAATATATTTTTTTTGTTTTGATCACTATATTTTTCAAATATACGATAATTCAAAAGTATCATCACTTTAAGGAATTGCGAAATATAATTAATTTTAACGTAACTAATTTTTAAACTTTTGTTACATAACAATATTTTAATATAGGGCATAGATTTTCACGCAACGCGCACACAAAATGCTAGTAATAATAATAATTGAAAAGATGAAAATAACCTTTTCTAAAATAGAGTTTTACTGGAAAAAGTTATTGAAAGGATAAAAAAATCTAAAAAATAATAATTTAGAGTATTAAATAACAAAAATAATATTCCAAAATTAAATTTGAATTATCAACAAATATAAAGGACTTCTGTTAAGAGGAATAGCAATTCCGCAAAGGCCCAAACATCAGAGTCAGAGGTGAGGGTTTCTACTTTCTAATCTGTCATTTCCCCCCGGTCTCTCTTCGCTCCCTAATTTCCGTTTTTATTTACGAAGTCTTGCAGTTGAAGACTAGAATAGAACGATTTTAGCTTTTGATTTCGACTGAGGCCTCAGTGTTCTTTCAATTTAATGGCTCGACATCGGAGACTCAAAACCCTACCCGATGCAAGTAGGGATTTAATAAGTGAGCTGCCGGTAGAGGTGAAGGACAGAATTTTGGAGTGTTTGCCCACCAGAGAGGTCGCCAGAACTGCTCTGCTCTCAAGGCACTGGTATCATGTTTGGTTGCAGCATGGGCGGCTTGTGTTCGATCAGAAATTCTTGGAAAGTGTCCAACAGCGCAAAGGTGATGGGCGGGTTAAGAAATTCTGGTTGGATGGTAGAACCTGCCGGAACATAATCAATAATATCCTCTTTCGTCGTGTTGGGCCGGTTAAGAAATTTATTCTAGAGCTTTCACTTGCTGATCCTAAGCCGCAACAGTCTGATTTTGATAGGTGGTGTCGTTTTCTGTCAAGAAATGGTGTGGAGGAACTTCACATATTTTTATTTAATTATCCACAGCCAGAATATCAGCTGCCATTTTGTTTACTCTCTTGCAGAACAATTAAGCAACTGATAGTCCAAGGTCCCTTTATTGATTTGCCTGTAGATGCTTGTGATATTTTTTCCAATGTCACTTCATTAGCTTTCTTTCATGTTGAATTTAAGCGCGGTGTTAATGGAATTGCCTCTAGTATTAGTATTCCTAAGCTTGAGAAGCTGGCCTTCAATTTTTGTAGCGGGATCAATAAGTTTGATATTAGCCCTCCAAAGCTTGAAATCTTGTCTATTATTCATTCTATGAATGATGTGGTTGACTCGAGATGGTTGCCACCGCATTTGAAAACCATTAAGACTCTTTGGTTGAGTGGCTCTTCGTTGGAGGTGAGGATCTGCCTCGTTTTACTTTATGCAAATGGATGGATAGATACAATTCTTTACCTTTTGGCTTGTTAAAGTTCTTGTGGTTGTTAATTTTGTTTCTTTGTTGCTATTTTTCAAGTATATGGATGCATCTATGTTTCCAACTGCAATAAATCTGCAAGTGATGAAGCTATATGGATTAAATTTTTGGTGTCGGAAGCAGCTTGCCGTTGCTATGCAATTGCTTAAAAAATGTTCTAACCTATGTGAACTGCATATTTTGATGGCCGAGGTAGAGTATATATTTGGCAATCATGTGTGATTCTTCTTGTTTTGCTTTTTCAAATGTCCTCACTGTTGTGCTTGTCTTTCATTTCTTCTTGAGTTATAGTTCGGTTATGACAAAGAAGCTGCTTCAAGGCTTTTGGAGGATCCCGATAGTTGCTTTGTTATTCATGAGCTGAAGATGCTTAAGACAATCAAGATTAAATCAAACTGTTCCACACTCCAAATGCTTTTTATAAGAATGTTGCTCTCAAAATCTCCTTTGCTAGAGAGATTTATTGTGAAGTTTTGGGGTATGAATGCCGCCGAGGTGAGAAAAATCCAAAGGAAGTTGGAATGCTTTCCGCGTGCATCTTCAAACGCACATATTGTCTTCACCGACAATGACAATGATTCTATCGGTATCGGCTGGCCGGTAACATTGGTTTAGCCTTTCACAAACTTGGTGAATCTCCATTGGTTCAATTTTGGTGCAACTTAGAAATGTAAGCAATGGTTGTGTTGGAAGTTGAAATGTTTTCTAAGTTGTTCAGCATGATCGAGGTATATTTGTAATCAACAAGCATTGTGGGTAATTAAGAATATTCCAATATTTGCTTTTGTTAATAAATGCTTGTCCTGAAGGGCTTAATTTCAGCCTACATTGCATGTTTTTAACACTAAAATTTGACTGCCTCATTATATGTCTTAGGTTCAGAATTAGAAGAGATGGCAGCGATGAATACTCTGTGGCCGTAAAGAGTGTGGAGAAGACCTGCCATGTATCAGAATAATAATCTTGTAATCGAACAGGAATATAATATACCTTTGTCTTGTATGTAGATCTTCTAGGCTGAATATTATGAAATTCATTTTTGAGTTTCATCTGGCAAACCAGTCAGTGTTGCTGAATTTTGAGCTGCAAGTGAAGGTGCTATATGGAACACCTAAAGTGGAATGAGCATCAGTAGCTATATCACCCAGGTTATAATCATCTGAAAATTAAAGTATATCACTGGTAGAGAGGGATTAAACAAATCATGCATGTGCCTTACTTGCTCAAGGATTCTTAGCATCATTTTTGATATAATGTTGTGGCTGCCTTGCTACTTGTAAGCAAAATTAGAAACGACTTCTGATCTTTTGAATCTATAAGTTATATTCTTCTGGTCTTCTGTTAATTGTACTAGATTAAACAAAACAAATCATGCATGTGCCTTACTTGCTCAAGGATTCTTAGCATCATTTGTCTTCAAGGGAAACACTTGTTCATAAAAATGTACATCTCGATCTAGATATGAAAACTGAACCATTTTGTGCATCATATAAAATATTTCCTTTTACATTATTAGCAGGATATCCAATGAAAATGCACTTCCTTCATCTTGATGCCATTTTTTATGTCTTAACTGTGGCTGTGTGGATGCTGCATAACACAAACAACCAAACATGCACCTTCAAATGAGCATAATCGGTAGGCTTACCATATAACCTCTCAAATGGAGTGTTGTAAAATGATTTTATTTCTATTTTTCTTGGTCTTATAGTCTTACTTTATAGAGAGTGCTAGTAATTATTCATAAGTTATTGAATCCTATCATTCTCTTCATATAAAATTAATAATGAAATTAGGAGGCGCAAATGATATTAAATCTTTTGGAATTAAAGGAATATAATATTTTTTTGAATGACAAGAGAAATTTGCATCCATTATCCCGCACTCAGTTTAGGTCATTGTTACTACGGAGTATTATATATCACAAGAGTGTGAAAATGTTGAAGTAGTCGTATTGAAGTTTCCAACTGCAATAAATCTACAAGTAATCAAGGTTGGTATAATGTTCATGCTACTTTGCCTACTTGTAAGCAAAGTTTATGAACTTATTTTGTATTAGTTTACCAGTTGAGTTGTGTTCTTGGTCCGGACATGATAGCTTATTTATAATTCAAAGGAAAATTGTCAAAATAACCTTGGAGTACTAGAGTGAATAGTAAGGCTTTTAATTTTTTTGTTTTCTTTCTAAAGGCTCCATTAAGGCTTTCTAAATTGACGAAAAATGTAATTGAATCGTAATATTAAACAACCTATTAAGTGTTACTATTGATGTGGTTAACAAATGACCTCTGACTCTGTGGGAGCAACCTCTCAAAGTGAGAGGGCTCTTTGTGCGCAGTAAACAAAAGTCTAGCCTCTATATTCAACTGACTTACCATGATTTATATCCTCTTATCTAGATGCTCTGTCGAGCCGGGGCATGTGGGATCCTTGGGATTGCGGATTCAACCTTTTGGGAACAACAACAACAACAAATGACCCCTGGATGCTTATTTGGATTTGACGTGTACAAATACATTGAGCAATCATTTTCACAAGCCGTAAGCTATTGGCAGTTTAATGTAATTGCCACACATTATAAAAATTTAATATTGATATATTTGTCGCTAGCATAACTTTTTATTTTATTTTATTTTATTTTATTTATGTTCAACTAGTTACCACACAGGCATTGCGCAAATAATTTGATGTCTAATGTGTAGATCAAAGTACCTACGAGGTCCTTGTACTATAGCGTTTTGTTCAATTTAGTCCTTGTACTTTAAAGTAGAGGGACTAAATTAAACAGATAAAGGTACAAATACTAAATTAAACAAAACACTATATTAGGTACTTTTACCCCAATGTATATTTTTAAATTAGTGATTCAGAATTTGTCAAAGTATCATTCGATATCCTGGTGTATATCAATGCAAGATTATCAAATTTTTCATGAAAGAATATTTTAAGAATGCATAACTATGACCAATGACAGAAATGTTAGATTAACTATGGTGCAATAACAATTTTAGAGGAGAGCACCCTCATTGGATATAGTACCCTAAACATAGTTTATATTGACCGAAATATATACCAGGGTATCTAGAAAAAGTAAATGATATGATAGAGGGTAAAATAGAAAAATAAAAATAAAAAAAACTAAAATCAAGATAATATGAAGAGTTAATTCCCAAAATGGTCATCCGACTATTGCCTTTTTCTCAAATTGGTTCTTTGACTTTTAATTGCACCAAAAGTGGTCCTTCGCCTATTGAATTTTAAACCAAAACGATCATCCGTTAGCTTTGGTGTTAAGTGTGTGTTAAAATGAAGGGTACAACTGGTAATTCAAGTTTTCACTCCAATTTAAAACAATTTGTCACCCCCTTTTATTGTGCTTTGAGACCTTTATGTTGTTGGTATAAAATGTGGAATAATCAAATTAGAATGTTTTTTTTTCAAGGAGTTACCATTCAATATGTTGAGTTTTCACAGGTTGCATTATTGTAATCAAAATTGCTTGGAAAAAAAAAAACGTCATGTCAACTAAACTACTGGATTAGTAATCTAAAAATTGCTTGGATTTTTATTATTGTTTGAGTAAACTACTTACTTCCCCACCCCACCTTAAACATAATAGGAGATTGTGCTTTTCCCCCATTTTCTGTCTACGGGAAAGGAGGGCCTTTTGGTAAATTCCCACTACTTATATCAATACCAGCAGTTTGCAGCATAGCTAAGTAGGAGCCTTTGATTTTATATATATGCAGTGAATATTCTGACATTACTAATACAAACATTTATACTTTTGAATTATACTAATATTTCAAAAACATATAAGCATTTGCATCTTACTAGTCGTTTCAAATGGATCTTCATGGATAAAAGTTAATTTAGGTCTAATATGAAGCTAAAAGGTTAAACAGGAGATCGAAACTAAACTATTCACTTCCAAGTTAATGTTTAATCTTTAATACTTATCAATAGAACTAGTATTTTATATGCGCGATGCGCAGAAAATATATGCCCAATATTAAAATTAAATATTAAAATCTTAGTTATTTTAAAAAAATATATATATATATATATATATATATATATATATATATATATATATATAATTCATATTAATATTATTGAGGTAAGAATTATAGAAATGATAATTTACTAAATATAACTATGGTAACATTTTAATTAAAACCTAAATGAATTCAAACTTACCATTGAAGGATGTAAGAAAAAATATTGTGTATGCATGTACATGGTAATAATAATGTGGAAAGATAACAGGAGTTATAACGACAGGGATATTTTTGTCTAAAAAATTATGTAGTACAGCTTTTATAGCACAAGGTACAAACAAAATTAACAGAAAACATGGACATAAACCAGGGGTATAACCTGGATTGAAGCTTATTATGTTTTTAGATTTTTATTCTATTTGCAATGTTGATCTAGCAATGGTAACTCCTTGGAAAAAAAACATCCTAATTTGATTTACTCCGCATTTTATACCAATAACGTACACGTCTCAAAGCACAAGAAAAGGAGGGTGACAAATTGCTTTAAATTGGAGTGCAAAACTTGAATTACTATTTTTTTTTTTTTTTTTTTCTTCTTTTTAATAAAAAAGAAGGGGGATACCCACTTTATTTAACAAACTTAATGGTTTATGTTATACACATAGTGCCAAGCTGGGAAGCCATCTAAGTCATCCTCAATTAGGCCTAGTACAAAATCAGGGGGATTTTCTAATACATGCAAACCTTAGGGGAAATGCTTGGCTTGTTTGGCAATTGCATCCGCGACACTATTTTGCTCACGAGCAAACTCAACCACATGCCAGAACTCAAACCTGCGCAGCTCTTTCTTACATGACTCCAGGATGTTATATGCTGCTATAGAAGGGTATAAGTCACCATTGACAAACTTGACAATCAAACTAGAATCATTTTCAAAAATTACTTTCTTAAAACCCTTTTTTTATTGCTAGTTGAATGCCCTTGAGTAAAGCCCAGGCTTCGGCTTCAAGAGGAGAGCAATTGCCAATGTTAAAAACGAATCCTTGTTTCCACTGGCCCATGTGATCACGCATCACCCCTCCGCACGAAGCTTTATTTGACTACAAATCTACAGAGCCGTCAACATTCACCTTAATGACATCTTCTGCTGGTTTAGACCAAGCAAGCTGCTTCCATTCTCTAGAATTTCCATCAGTCAGGGGGCCTCCGGCTCTCGATAAGGCTCTGTTTATTTCATCAACCTTGGATCTAATCCATGTTGTCTTGAACTGCAGAACATAAGTTTTATCGTTGAACACTTCCTCATTGCGCCATTTCCAAATCCACCAAATGGTTGTGGCAAAGAGTATACTGTTCTTGGAAGGATTACTGTTCCTCCCTCTATTTACCAATCCTTGATCAATCCATTTAGAGAAGGTAAAGTCCTGTTACCTGCATGAGAGGATGGCAAGATTGCTCCCCAAACTTCTAAAGCTTTAGGGCAATAACGAAGAACATGTTCAGTATCTTCAGTTAATTCATTACAGACCCAACACTTATCATGATCCGCCATACCCCTCTTAAATATGTTACTATTGCACATAATTCTTTCATGCCTTACCATCCAAAGGAAAGTTCTAATTTTGTTGGGGACCCTCAGTTTCCAGATGCAGTTCCATTTAGAAGGACCACAGATTGAACCTGGTTTGATGTTAGCATGTAAGCCGCGCTGACTGAAAATTTGCCTGATGCTTCCAAATTCCATCTTATGACATCCTTAGTTTCCGGATTGTCATTAACCATAATTGCGGCCAACTTGTTCAAAGTATTCTCCGGCAGGTAGCAAACCAATTCGTCCCAAGACCATCAATCCTCCCCCCAGTAGCTAGCGACAGTCCTGCTAAGCTCCGTTATTGGTAAGGCAGAAGTTACATATTCTAACAATGGAATTTCTTCAAGCCAAATGTCCTTCCAAAAAAGAGTGCCGCTGCCATTCAATATGTGTTTACTGCTACCCCTTTGAATGAGGGGGACCGCTTTAAATATCCCTCACATAACATTAGACATATTTCTCTTTGGTAGCCATGAACTGCAGTCCGTTGGGGATAGTTCATATTTTGCTCAAAGAACTTTGGACCAGAGACAGTCTTCATCCTGCAACAGTCTCCATCCTAGCTTAGCCATAAAAGCTACATTCATAAACCCAAGGTTTCGAATACCCAATCCACCTTGAGCCTTATCCTTAGTGATCTCCTCCCATCAAAATGTCACGTCATTTTCCACATAGGATGCTACCAACAATTATCAATAATTAATAAGGGAATCCCTCCTGAATTTTCCTTTCTAGATTTACTTCCTCATGTGACTTTCACTCATTAGGTGTCATGAATTGGCTAACTCATCACTAATTTTTTTTTTTAAAGTAACCAATTAACTAATGACACATCATAATGGATGAATTGCAAGCAATATGATGTATACAAAAACTTTTCATGTACATGTCTTTGCATTTTCTTCTAGTGCATTCTACACAATTCATCTTGGAGGAATGATGCCACTATGTCATTATTGAAAAACAAATCTTGTATTTTTTTAAAGCACAAGAAAATAGCTTCATTCCCTTTGGTATATTTAATTTGTAAATAACTAGCTAGCAACGTAAGATTAATCCAAAATCAAAAAAGGGTTGTGTGCTAGAAGATTCAACTAGTAAGGATACTCGAGCTAACTATTAGTACATTAAATAATATTGAATTTAAAGAGTGAATCAAGGAGATGCATGAATTTAATTTAACAAAAATATATGGAGTAAAAGATGCTTATATGTAAACAATTTTTGCTTTCTTTGATGCACGAGGAATATGTAACAGTTTTTGCATGATTTTAAACTCATTGGAATCAAACTTCATCCGACGAATAATGACAACCTTCTCAAGTGCGGGAAAGCAAGCAAGCATCATCTTGATGAATCACAATTTAGACCTCGACCCCTTGAATGATCTAAGCTTGAAAGTGTGAAGCATTTTAGCCGCACTTTGTGTAGGGCATGACGCCCAGGAATTGTCTAGCTTTTCACACGGTTACAGGTTGTTTGCAGTATGGGTGTTGGGCCCACTTTGTAGTTTAGAGTTTCTCCTTTACTTATTTGCCTTTTAGGCCTTCTTGCTTTACTTGTAGACTTGGTCACTTTTGGGCCTTGTCCTTTTCTTTTTTCTGTAGCCTTGGTCACTTTTGGGCCTTGGCGAGACTTTGTTCGGTTCTGTTTGTTTATAAATAAGATGAACCTTTTTTGAAAAAAAAAAGTCCCTCCCAAAGTATAGATTCACATATTCTTCCATCAATCTTCAAAAAAAAAAGGCTCAATAAATTCATCTTTTACACAATAACCTTGTATTAAGTAATGCGAAACAACAATAGAAACAACTATAATTTCATTAAATAACTTATCAATGAAAATGAAGATTACCCATAAATGCATTATGTCAAGCTTGCGTAATACTAGACATATTCGTAACGAATGAATAAATGAAGAAAACTCAAAATCATCATGAAAATAGAGATATGATAACTCCAGGCATTCCACATTTAGTTCACGTCCCCATCTAGTAAGTTCATTGACAAAATGCTTGGAAATAAGAAAAGATATTAAAAGGGGTTAGTTCCTAAAATATATTTCAAATAAATAATAGTCCGGAAAAAAATTACTAAGCTATTATACCTTGAAATTAAAATCCAAACAAAGAGTATGAATAAATGACAAGTCTAAGTTAGCCGGGAGAATAGGAAGATAAACGTGGATATTGTCTTCAAAGAAATAATTCTTGAGTGTTAAACTTCAAAGCCTTGGAGCCTTAATGTTGAAATATGACGCATTTTCACATCCACTAAATGAGAGAGTCTCAAGCATAGGAATATCTCTAACACAATCCAAATTAATAGCACCAAAGACAACACCGTCAAAACTAAGTGAAGTGACATTTGGAAATATGCAAGGGGCATTTATTGTTGGTGCAACTAATACTCCGATGAGATCCAACCTCTTGAGAGTTAAGCAAGAAAATATGCAATTTGGAAGCCTGAAGCATTTATTTGGTTCTAAAATTATTGGAAAAGTAATGTTCATTTCTTCAACATTTTTTTGAGTGATAAAAAGGAACCACTGATCGAAGTCAAACTTTCGAGAAGTCGGCTTATCACTGATGATTGATAAGTCACCATCAAAATCCAAGGCAAATTTCCGAATAGGTCCATGGTGCCGCATGAGAACTTTGTTGATTACATACATACAGGTTGATGTGCTATTATAACTGTCAGAATATTTTTTTTCCCA